TTCTCTGAAATCGAGTGAGCGTCCTCTGAAATCTGCCGCCCCTAGGCAGCTGCCTATACGGCCTATTGAGAAATCCAGAACTGGCAAGGCGTACTATGAAACCTTGCTAATTGCCGTCTCAAAAAGGACAAAAGTGAGGCGTCCTTTAAAATGCACACACTGTACTCAATGTTTTAACAACTAATAATTAAAATAAAACAAGAAACTTTATTTTAAAATTAACAATAATGTAACAGTTGCTTAACTTATTTTTTTATGTGAGAGTAAGACAATCAAGACTTCAATTAATCTATATCGGACAGCTTTACTGAGCTAGCCAAGAAAAAGTTTACTATGCTAAACTGAAGATCCATCCATATAGGAGATATTCAGATTTTAACCTGTCACAAGAGAAAAATAATTTGCATCTCTTTTGCACAACAGGGTTTGTACTACTTTTTATAATAATAATTTATTAATATTCAAGAACAAAGTTAACCTTATAACAAACAGTTATGCTACTTTGTTTTACAAAATTTGTAATCACGGATTTGAAACAACCTTCCTGATTTTCATCTTCTTCAACATCTATCCTGTAATCCAGATTTGGGAAACCTTTATTACTAGCAGTATTGGACTGTTTTCTAATGTATAAAAATAACACATTTAAAGATTTTATCACATTGAATATCTTTTGGAACATTTGTTGAACATGTTGATAATAACTTAAATTGTTGTTTTCGCTTTTAGCTATCCAGTAGTAGGCAGTTATGTTATCAATTGCGACCAAATTAATGTTTTCTTTCACTATAATAAGTCTTTCAAGATTCATAATAGCCAATTCTAAGTCCTCTAAAGAGTAACAATTGAATATAGTAAGATTTTTTAAAGCGTTTTCAAGAATTTCTTTCTTAGGATCTACTATACCGTTATTATTTAGATGCGTTTCTATAATTTTGATAATTTTAAATAAGTTTATCTGATGTTCACAGATTATTAAGATTGCTCCTGAAGACTTCCACTCAGACTTACAGTTATTGGGTAAAATGCACTTTATGATAAAATCCAGTAATAAGTCATTTTTATCTAGTTTTTGCTTCCCTGTAATTTCTATAATTTGATTCGGAAAAGGGCCCCCTTCAGGAAAGTAATTTGGGTTCATGCCTTCAAGAGAATTTATTCGATTCACTCTGGAGAACAACTGGATGCCTGATTCAACTTGGTTATTATTCATTTTATTATTATAATTTATTTTTATAAATAAGAATAGCAGTTCTTGTTCGACTCCCAAAATTTAAATAAAATTACAAAAAATAACGAAAACATCCTCTTCTTTTATATGGTTAGTGGCTATTGTACCTTACTAGTTAAGGCAAAAATCACTTTAAAATGGCCTTTTATATAGGAGGTTAAACGCAATTATTGCATAAAGCAAAGACAATTTTACAACTTATATGCCGCGTTTGAGAATCCACATCGGATGCATTTTTTACATCTCGAGCGTTTTTTTATCCACATCTGACACATCTGTCCCACTCCCACTACATTTACGTACACTGAATCACGTGATCAAAGATTTACTACATCTCAGATGCATCCGATGTGGATTCTCAAACGCAGCATTTCAACATAGAGACAAAAGGTCTTTTCCTTTGCATCGAAAGTGTAGCACTGAGCTACACCACTTCTGAAAATATCGTTCCATTTATACAAAATGTATGGATAGAACGATATTTTCAGAAGCGGCATAACTTAGTGCTACACTTTCGATGCAAAGGAAAAGACCTATAATGTTTAATTCATAAATCCCATACAATTGCGGACTGTTATTGTTTTAAAATTATTAGTGAGTGGAAGAGAGAAAGACAAGTCTCTTAGGACCATAGATATATAACCAAGACAGATAGGATTATTTACAAAAATTTTGAAGAATGAACGGTGGTGTCCGCGGTAGAAACCCAATAATCGGATTGAACATTGATGCCAAGTTTACGTGCTTTTAACTATAGATATAGATGACGATTAGGTAGATATCAACTAGAAGCATGTACTTAATGGTTATAAAGCTTATTTTAACACAAAAAGAATAAAGCACTAGTCGAAAAGCAGCAATCAAATAAATAAACCACTAGTCGAAAAGCAGCAATCAAATAAATAAACCACAATATTAAAATTCAAATTAAAAACTATATAAAAGACAAATACTCTAAAAGCGCAAAAGATCATAACCAAATAAAATGAATAACCATAATAACCTAAAAATCACACTAAAATTGCAAAAACTATTACTGTAAAATCATGAGAATACATCAATAATGCATATGCGTCGGAGTATCGCAAATGTCAAAAGTACAGTGTTTCCATGAAAATTTAGCTATGTTTTTAGCAGTATTAGAGGACCATTTCTACCACGCGCATCCAACGATATTGGCGTTCCACAGTTCACTGTATTTTCCTCACACCTCTAGTATAAATGATTTGACATAACGAAACTAACAATAATTTTAATTAATGTAGAGTAATAAGTGATTCGTGAATTCTAAATAAAACAATTATTATATAAAAGTGTAAAAGGAAATGTAATTTATTTCCCTATTTTCTTCTGTAATATCTTCAATTATTATGTTTAATTTCTATAAACAAACCAACTGGTTAGGTGAAACATTGTGATATAAGATTTTATTTATGTGTCCTATGCGTACACTTTAATATACAAAACACCTGGAACATTCTTTAAATAATTGTGGTCGTAGAAATAATTGTGTACATAACTCGTTTGAAAGTGTATTTTATGCACTTGCCAAATATATTATCCATACAGATTAATCAGACTATTTTTTTACTTAACTTCAGTACATCTCTTACTACTAAAACTATTTTTATCAATGGAAAAAAAGGGCCGTGTTCTCGTATGTTTTGACGCATTTTCGGCCTCAGCCCATCGGATCCCCCTCTAAATATATATGAATTTTGCTTAGAATTGCTAATCCTACAATTCTCTATTCGTGCTTGCTTACTGGGAAAATAAATACCGAAAATCGTCACTGTCTCCTGGACTATACAATAGATGATGATGAGAACTTCACAACAAATACACTTTTATGAATGGCTAGTTGGGGATGTGAATATTAAGCTCCATATTAAGTATCTTGAAACATTGGGAATTAATCATTATTATCCTTATACGTTTAATTGAAACAGACACTGTGGCAACCTCTGCTAGTACCATCGTTTGTTGTGCATGCGATTATGGACCTTATTATCATACAATTGTTTATGTAAACAAGGCGTATCTATTCCAATACATGATCGAATCATAGAAGATATTTGTAATCACTCCCACGTCTAAAAATATATTTATTTTACTTGATGCGTCAGATGCACTGTATATTTTTAAATATGTTCCATGTTGTTTATTAGACATAATAAATAACTTTTGTCTAAACTATTTTTTTTGCTTACGTACCCAAGTTTTGAAATTATAGTGCGTGTTTCTCTAAACTATTTTTTACTTAGGACCGATTCCACCGTTGTGTTAAACGAAATTTAAAATGACATTTTTACATTAACAATGTCATTTTAATCTCCGTTTAACACAACGGTGGAATCGGCCCTTACTACCCTAGTTTTGAAATTTGTGCATTATTAAAAATTCCCTGGCCACTAATAATGGTCTAGGCAGCCTAGGTTGCCAAATAATAATCAGAGAAAAAACAATAATTTCGTCATGCAATAGAATAATTTGACTGCAAAAAGTAGCATATACGTCGTGTTTTTTTGCTTGCTATTTGTAGTTGGGTTCAGGGGGGCGAACAACATGTATTATAGCCTCACTATAACCCGGTGTAGGGAGCTGTCGTGTAACCTGTCAATTTTAAAATGTTCTTTATCGATACATTTTTTGTTTTTTGCTGGCAATAAGTTGCTTCTAGACGTCTATAACAATGAACAAATCCCTTTGCAAGCATTAGCTGCTTTTAATGTAGGGGAATCCCTACACTTATACCGAAAGTAGGAAAACCGGACGACAAAAAATACTTGCAAATGGATTTTTTTATTGTTGGTAGTGTTAAGATCAATCATTAGGTTCTTTCGTCCGTCCCACTGGTGTAGGAATGAACTACACCAACGGACACTAAACCTTTCGTTTGGCCCGGTGTAAAACTCACTATACCTTCCTGTCGACGATGTGGTGTCCACTGGTGTATATTTTCTCCACCACCTATTTAGCAGGAGTGAATTACACCCGACATGTGTATAAGGAATAAGGAGGAAGTAAATTAAAACCTTCATACCTAAACAAAATGGATTCACTGTATTAAACACCACCAAATTATTTAATTCGTAGCCTAGACTATTTTGAACACTATTCGGAATCAATGTTAAGATGAAAACCATTATTTTTATAATAAAAACTTTATTGGTCTCTTCAAAATTTATCTTAACATTTATTTTTTAACATTCTAGCATAAATATATACAGTACAAATTCATTTTTAAGTTCAATTTATTAAAATAAAATACCTAATTAAATACAGGTTGAACTAGAACTCATAAACCAATCTCACGATTAAATGATACCAGCATCGAACCATTAGTCAATAAATTAAATACAAAGCAACTTGTTTGTAGTTTTTTAGATCAACCTGTACATCATAACAGTATTATAATTTTATCTCTCGAAAACAACCCCATGGAAGTTTTTACATAGAAAAATCAAAGTTTTCAGTTAAAAAGAAAACGGCAAAAGTGCCACAATGTAGAGTAATTTCTTTTAAAAAGGTATCGAATAATTTTCTTCAAGTTTATAAATTGTTTAATGATGTTATTACATATTTCTTTTAGACTAGTAAATATTGCAAGGTTTATTTTAATGAGAAAATTCATAAAAATTCAATAGACAAATCATCATCTCATCTATGAAGTGATAATACTTTCATATAATTATAAATTTATTGCTTGGAAGTTAGTTGGAATCAATTTAATTAAAATGTTGCAAAATGGCAGAATACAGAAAAAACTGCTCTTTTATAGTCCATAATTTTAGTTCGTTCATACATGTATTTTATTTTTTAATAAAGGAAAATATTTATTTAAATCCAATAACTCATACTTCATTCAATAAATTCGGCCACTAGAGATTAGAGACCATAATAACAATATTAAGAAACTAAATTTGATCAGTGAATATTAAAAAGTTTTCACCACCATATACAAATTCTAATACTGCAATAAATGTATAGTATATAAAAGGTTTTGAAGCTACTTTGGATATTTTCATCAATCTGTATATTGTCAATAAAGAATACATATCTATTCGATCGTATATACAAATGTATTATTATAATCCAAAAATAATCAAAAGCACCTATCTCCAAGGAACTATATAATTATACAATATTAATATTGTTAATATGATTTAAAAAAATATTTTAAATCTCCCATAGTTTGATTTCGAGAATTGGGATTCACAAACCTTCAAACAATTACAAGCTGCTCACCCTGTAAAAATTCTTTGTAAAAAAAAGTATGTTGAATTACTAAACAAAGTAAATACTAATACAATCATGATAAATAGGTTAGATTTATAAATACGTCAACATTAACAATAATAACTTTCGCATACACCTCTTACTCTTTTTTTTTGGGGATTTAGACGAGAGACAAAATTACATTAGGCCATAAGTTCGAACTATTTCCCCCTAATAGTATCACTACGTCGATAGAATAATAAATAAGGAACTCTGGTTCCCTGCGGTTTCAGTACTTGTTCTTCTTGAACAGTCTTCACAGAAGCATCGTCGTACCTCAACCAACAGCTGTAACCAATGTGAAATGCGTCTGTTACATAATGACCTTTGCTGGCCTCTTTGCCGTCATGGTAGACCACTGCGAAGAGTTTGTAATGTTTCTCTTTTTGTGATTGTGTCTTAGAAGATAAGAGTTCTGAAAAAAAAAGAAAAAGGATAGAATTATTTATTTGAAAAAGGATAATTTCCTGACCGTAGTAGAATTTTATGTAAATAAAAATTTCCTTAATTGGGGACGATTACAGTTTAAAATTTTTAAAATAACAGAACCCCATCTTTTTATTTCATCGTGTGAATGTGTATTCGAAATTAACAAAAATTGACAATTTGTACTTTTGGCAGTTGCAAACAAAATTAAAAGTTTTGTAAATTTTACAAAGCCATTTATGTGCCTTTCTACATAAGCAATCTATAACCAATGTATGCCTTTTTTATAGATCTAGTATTGAAGTGAATTTGTTTCTAGACTTTTGTTGGAACAATTTTTATAAAAAAATATTTTTTTTATATTTTTTTGTCAAATTTCTCGAATACGGACAAAAATTATAGATAATATAAGAAGTAACTTTTATTTGAAGAATTCCCAAACGTAAATAACAGATATATTCCATAAAATATAACCAATTTATGCCTTTATAGATCTAGTATTGAAGTGAATTTGTTTCTAGACTTTTTTGAAGAATGATCTTAGCTAAGTTACATTGGTTGGGGATTTCAATATTGATTGGTACAGTAATTCAACTTATTCATAAAGATTGAAAAACATTGTTACTGACAGGTTTTAAGAACGTGGTTAAAGAATTTACACAAGCAAATACTCATGGAGGATCATTAATTGATTTAATTATTACAAACTCAGACATTACAACTGAAGTAATAGACACACCAAAAATCAATATTCATAGAAATATTATTGCAAAATTAAACAAACAAAAAAAAAAACAGAAAAAAGGGAAACGATAATTATTGAAAGTAGAGGTAGGGTTATTGATTATACAAACATTAATAATAATCTAAAATATATTACATGGAATTATTGGTTACATAATATTAATGAAAAATATAGATTTTTAGATAAAACTTTGAAAGTTGTCAATGAAGTGACACCAAAAAACAAGTACATTTATTACTAACAAATCAGAGGAAAACTGGCAAATATATAAATGTAATAGGAATAAAGCAGTGAATGTAATTAAACATAAAAAAAGCAAATACTTGGTTTTAAACAAGGATAACCCCACTGAGATGTGGAAAACTTTGAAATCTTTCATTCCAACAGCTAATATCACAAGCAGTTTTACTAAAACTAATATTGAATTCGACAATCTTTGTGAAAATCGTCAGGATCTTACTTTTCCAAATGCTTTAAATTATCACTATGTAATAGTAGTTTACGTAACAAGTCCCGAAAGTGATCTTTTACTGGATGAGTGGGCAAGCCTGCGAGTCCAGTAAAAGCACTTTTGGGACGTATTACGTACAATATTTTTTTTAACGGTCATTTTTGTACCATAAACGTATTATTCAGTTTACATTTTTATAACAAGAACTCTTTATTAACTAATTTTAACAATTTTTTTACCAATCGTTAATTTTTGGTTTACAAATATAAATATTATTTTTGAATAGTTTAGTTATATTAAACGTACAATTATTAAAGTCTATTCAGATTTCATTTACGCCGCGTCAAAACAATTTCTCTCATCCAGCAACCGCTCACGTGACATATTTTTGCGCTTCTATTGGTTAATCGGTCGTTAGTCATTTAGACGACGCGCAAATATTTTTTGTCAGAGTCGAATTCAGTTCAATTTGGATAATTATAAACGGCGTTTTGGTAGCATTCACCGTGTTAGTTAGTTGGACATTTTGTATGTTTGATTGATTATAATTCATTATATTATAGTTTAGATATACATATATTGTGTTATTTATTTTTTTTTGTTTTTGTGGTTGTTGTTAGTTTGAATATTTTTTACTCTATTTTATGGACATTTAATTGACTATATTTTGTAACTGCTGCGTGACACTATGTCCTCCACAGATACAGCAGATTAAGTCCAGAAAAATGTTTTTACTCCTTCTAAAAAGCGACCGAAAAAGGGACATTTGGTCATCCGTACTAAAAAAATGGTTCTTAATATTTATAAGCATTAAATTTTATAGAACCCTGATATGTTGGTACATGATGTTGAAAGGAGAGTTGCTGATAAAACAGGGATGTGCGCTAAATCCGTTTTTAATGTTATGAAGATTCATAAATTTTCTGAACCAAAAAGAAAGCTACGTTATAAACAAATTAGTGACTCTGTGGATGATTTTGATAAAAATGCAATAAGGCGCAAAGTACATCAATTCTTCTTTAGAAATTAACTTACAACAATCGATAAGGTTTTATAAGAAGTCTACGATGATCCATATTTGTCTACTTTAAGCGAGCTACATTTTACAAGCTTTTCAAAACCCTTAATTTTAAATTTAAAACTCGAGAAAAAAATAGTTTGCTTTTAGACAAAATGAAATTATTTCGTCCTACGCCACAAAAAATAAAACGGTACAGAGAAGAAAAGCAAAAAATATATTATCTTGATGAGACTTGGATTAACGCAGGCGACACCAAATCAAAAGTATATTTCGATATGTCGGTTTTATCATCCAGACAAGCCTTTTTGGATGAACTTTTAACTGGTTTTAAAAACCCATCAGGTATGTGCGTAAAAACAGCTCAGTATATGCCATATTGGAAGTGAAGAAGGCTTTGTTTCTAATGCACTTTATGTATAATACTTCACATGTCTCCGTATCATTGTGAACTTAACCCTAATGAATTAATCTAGGTTGACGTTAAACAATACGTAGCAGATAAAACTCAACATTTAAATCTGGAGACATTAAATTTCTTTTTGAAGAAGTAATATTAATTTCTCCAGAAAAATGGAAAAAGTGTATCGACCATGTTCGCTAAAAAGTTGAAGTAAAAATGTGGGAGTTGGATAATATTATAGAGGTTCAAGTAGAACTACTTGTAATTTTGATTAATGAAGATAGCCCTTCAAGTCTAACTAATTTATCCGATTCAGAATAGTGCTAAGTCAAGTAAGAAAGATTGCTATAGGGTATAAGGTGTCTAATCTAAATACTAGTAGAACAAGAACAATAGACCTTTTCATCATGTGATGAGCGCAAGCACAGCCACCATGTTGAAATAGCGGTAATTCAAAAGTTTCGTACTGTTTTGATCGACAATGGCTGGGAAAGCAATGTTATCTCTACAGAAAAATTAATCATTAGAAAAAATCGTTGATAGTGAATAACTTTTTTATAACTCTGTGGAAGCGCATAGTTGTGAGCAGTTGAAAAGGATGTTGAAGTGTCTTGGATGTTTGTTACAAAGGAACAAAGTGGACTAATTGAGATGTTAGGTGTATCAATACTTTTTAACTCTGTAAAAAATTCATGAAAACAAATAATAATTATAACTTTATTCTAATTAATTATGCCAACCAACTATTACTACTTGCAAAAACACTTTAATTAGCATGAAAGTTAATCACGAGTATAATTAATAAAATAAATTATTTATTATTTTGAGGATCAACATGACATTTTTAATCATTTAATGTGTATACCGAAGTAGTATTTAATATTAAAAAAATATTGTTTAATACCACATGCGAATTTTCTTCTGTTGGACCACTTTCTTCATGAAAATGCAGTGAAATATAAGTATCTTTAGTAACATCATTAATCCATCGAAAACCGTTGTCACTTCGACCATATTTTTTCACACTTAATGCACATTTCGAATATCTTTTAATATGGATTTTGCCTGATAATTGTTTACTATATTGCAGTTAAGGCTTTGGAAAATTTATAAAATAATATCTATTGCCTTTGAATGATTTATACCGTGAGTCACTTTTACATAACAACACTGTTTTGTTATTCCTTTCCGTACAGATAACATAATTATAATTGATTGTGAAAATGTATTTTTCAATTAAGACACTAAACTTATTATTACTTTACTTTTTTCTTCCTTTTTTTAAATGAATATAGACTTAAATTAATATTTATCAATTATAATTTTTTTCACGTAAGCATTTTAACATACTTGTTTACAAAAACAGTACGAAAAAGATGGCTGAAACTGACGCATGCGCACAAAAAAAAATTGTGATGAAAAGGTCTATAAAGAACAAAAGTTGTCAAAAATACAAAAGGTTTCTTTTTAAGATGCACAATTTTAAATCAAATACCAAATACCTCTTATATTTAAAGTTTTTTAATGCTTTTAGTAGATATATATTAGCTATTAAAGAATTTGCAATTATTTATTATATAATATAATTTTATATTATGATTGTTGTAATGCTCTGTATCACAGTAGACATATGTAATGAACTAAATATAATGCAAACATCTCTTTTAAAGTCAAATACATTTATTAATTTGTATTGCAGGTTAACGCAGTTTATGTCGCTCACCTATCTTCGTCCAGAAATGTCACTAAAGTCTGGGAGACCGTGTATGGCATTTATTTTACAGTTTTACTTTACAAAATATGTTTTTATCTTAATAAAAAAAGTAATTTCACAATTACACTCTTTTATTTTACATTTTTGCAAGACGGAAAAGTAAAATACGGCCCTGCTCAATTTTAGCGTCCACCTGCTTCTGTTTATATCAGGCGTTAATTAAATTTGAATAGACTTTAGTTTCAAGTAAGATAAATTTATCTTCATGAAAATTCTATTTTGCTAAAAATGAAGTCATTATTATGATATAAATAATGGTACTTAGTACATAAATTCTTATAATCAGGACATTTATTGTAAGTCACCTATAATCCTGCAACACGTTGAAGTAAGACACTTTGTGGTACCAAAAATTAATTTCTATGATGTAAACAAAAAACGTTATTTTAAAAAAAATAATCAAGTTGCGCACTTTCAAAAAAGTTGCAAATTTGATACATTGTAAACATCCAAATTGATATTAGTTCAAGTTTGCATAAAGTTAAAATAAACTTTAAAATTTTGCAATTATTAATATGTTCCGAACCTCAGAAAAAGTTGCAAAATTAAATTTATAATTATATAAATTTAAGAAATATTCCAACAAAGTATGAAAACT